CTGAAGGCAGAGAAAGAGAGGTGTCAGGATTTATCCTAAATGAGGTGGGCAGCTGGGCCCTGCATCTGAAGGAGTCAGAGGAAACCAGCCAGGGAAGCAGCAGCTACAGGACAGGGCAGTTTTGTGACCAGAGGCCAAAACTGGCACAGTTTTGTGCCAGGAGTGCCAGCACAGTTTGCCCAAGCAGTGAGAACCTGTCAGCTCTGCTGAGATTTCCCTGGCTCCTCTTCCCAGATGGATTTAAACCCCAGGCAGCAGCACGAATTCAGGGATGATTCTGCTTTTAATGGGTACACACACCCCTCAATATTCTGGAGCAGAGGGGGGAACCTGTGTCCTTTAACACCCAAAAACCCATCAGTGCTGAGGCCAGGTGGTGCCTGAAGAAGAACAAGCAGGATTTACCTTGTTCAGGACCAGCACACTGGGGATGTGGGGGAACTGAGACAGGCACCTGAGCACCTCCTTGCTCAGAGAGTTCCTTGTCCAGTGATCTGACACATCCACCAGAACCAGGACTGCCAGGAAAGAGGGAGGGAAACAGGATGAATCCACATTTTCCAGAATGTTCACTTGCAGCTTTACAGTCTATGGTCACTCCCCTCTTCAGGAAGGGCACAAAAAGAAGGATTTTACTAAAAATGCAGCTTAGCCATGTCACCCTAATGACTTCACACGTGCTAAATCTCTACATCCAAGCCCAGTTATTAACCCAAAGTGCCTTCCCTTGGCACCAGGCAGCTCTTATCCCCTCCTCAGCTCAATATTCCAGATCTTTTCTCTGCCCTTCCTTCCTTGTTCACACTCCCTGGGCTGCCTGTGCTGCCAGCAAACACCCAGATACCACAGCTGAGAACTTGTGTGGCAGAAAAGGATTTGGTTTGATGCAAAAAGAGTCAAAAACCCACCTAAATCTGCATGTTTCATGCTGTCCCATGGGTCTGTCAGCATGGCTTCATCTAAATTATGCCTGAAACACAAATACAAATGAATAATAATTGTATGTAATAATTATATGTAATAACAATATGTAATAATTATAATGAATATAATTCATTATAATTGTGTTCCTCCCTCTCAAACTAGAAGGAAACCAGTGTTTTCCCTCATTCCAGCTGCCACAAAGCTGCTTTAGGGATTGTAACATCCCTTGTCATGTGCAGATACACAGAACCACACACAAAAAGGTTCAAGGGACAGGCTCTGTGTGCTACTGAAATTACAACAAAAAAATTATTGAAAAGCAAAATAAGGCTAAAACATGCATTCAGCTCACTCCTATTTTACAGACTTTGCACACTGAAAATCACATTCCTGTTTTATTACTCTTGCTAGGCAGTACACACCCCCCTCCCCACCTCAGTGGTGGTACCTTTTGGCTTTTAAGGGATTTGTGAGGCCAGGTGTGTCTAGAATGATCTAGGAAAAGGAAAAACAAAGGTTTCAACTTTACCAGCAGTGAGAGCTCAGGGGAAAACCCCGTATTTGTGCAATGAGAAGTGATCCCAGGGGACACAGATGAGCAAATGCTGCCCTTGGGCTCCAGGACTCACCAGCTGTGTGTCCTCCTGTGTGATGACACCCCGGGCCTTGCAGCGGGTGGTGTGCACCTTCTTGGAGACTGGGAAAACCTGCAGGAAATTAATTAAGCACCTTACACAGCCAAAAAAACCAGGAAACAGCCTGATCTGCCCCCCAGCTTCACCTTCCTTCCCAGGAGCTGGTTGCAGAGCGTGGATTTCCCGGCGTTGGGAGCGCCGATGATGGCGATCCTCAGCACCTTGGGCTGCGGGGGCTGGTCGGGCCGATTCTCCAGGAGGCGTTTCTGCTCCTCTGCCGGGGAAAAGAGGAGTTTGGATGGTGCCAAACCCTCGGGGGGTCAGGACAGCCCTGGGGCGGGGTGGCAGCTGCCACCACTCACCTTTGTCACCACTCACCTTTGTCGGTGGCCACGGGCGGCGGGTGCTGGCCCACAGCGGCAGGAGGGGCCTCAGCAGGGATGCCCAGGAGGCTGCCCAGGGCCGAGCTGCTCCCATTCCAGCGGCTGGGAACGCTCAGGATCCTCCCCAGCACCGAGCTGCTCCCGTTCCAGCGGCTCCCCGGGAGGCGAGCTGGAATAAAACATCGAATATATCAAAAATGTCCCTAAAACACACCAAGCTCGCGTGGGCTTCCCCCTCCCCACGCAGCGCTCACCCCACCACCAGGCCTCTCGGCCGGCCCCGGCGCCCCGCCCGCCACGTCCCGCATCCAGCCGCCCCCAGAGCTCCCCCGCGGCCCCAGCGCACCCGCTCGCGGCCAGAGCGGCCCCGCCGCGGCGGCACCAGCGGCCCGGAGCGCGGCCCGGGCGGCGGCCGCGGCCATGGGAGCCGCCATGTTGGGGCGCCGCGGGGCACGCCGGGAAGGCGAGCGGTGCCCGCTGCCATTGGCGAACGGCGCGGGGACACAGAGAGCGCGAGAGCGGGGCCAGAGCGCCGCGGGGCCGCGGGGAATTGTGGGATGGAAACGGCCGAGAGCCGGCGGGGCGGGGCGGGGCCGCGGGAGCGCCCCCTGCCGGCGGCACCGCGGGGTGCAGGGGGCGGCACCGCGGGGTCACAGCGCGCCCGGGGTCACCGGGGTCACCAGCGCCCCCACTGTGCCCTCAGTATCACCAGCGCCTCCCCAGTGTCACCGGTGTCACCGGTGTCACCAATGCCCTCCCAGTGTCACCACTGCTCCCGGTGTCACCAGTGCCCCCGGTGTCACCGGTGTCACCAATGCCCCCACAGTGTCACCAGTGTCCCCCCAGTGTCACCAATGCCCCCACAGTGTCACCAGCACTCCCCATGTCACTGGTGTCACCAGTGCCCCACCAGTGTCCCTCCAGTGCCCTCGCAGTGTCACCAGAGGCCCCCCAGTATCACCAGTGTCACCAGCGCTTTCGGTGTCACCAGGGTCACCAGCACCTCCACTGAGCCCTCAGTGCCCCCTCAGTGTCACCAGAGCTCCCAGTGTCACCAGTGTCACTAGTGCCCCCCTACTGTCACCAGTATCACCAGTGTCCCCCCAGTGTCCCCAGTGCCCAGTTCCACCAGGCTTGGAGCCCCCGGAGGATATGGTGAGGAAGGAGAGTGGAGTCACGGTGGTTCTGTAACTCTCTTTATTGTCCTGTGCCCATCCCCAGGGCTCCATCACTGTGTCCTTGCTGTGCCATCCCGTGCCATTCCCATCCCGTGCCATTCCCATCCCGTGCCATTCCCATCCCGTGCCATTCCCATTCCCATCCCATCCCGTGCCATTCCCGTGCCATTCCCGTGCCATCCCGTGCGGTGCCGCGTGTCCGGCCGTCAGCAGAACCGTTACCATTACTAAACTCAGTAATGGTAACGGTTTCCCCGCCGGCCGTGGGTGCCCAGCTGTGTCCGGATTCTCTCCCTCCCAGCCTGGGATGTCCCCCCCAGCCCGTGTCACTCATCCCCGGTGTCCCGGGCGTGTCCCGGTGGTGGCAGTGGCGGGAGGAGGTCGGTGCAGCCCGGGGAGTACATCATCTATACTGTAGTGTCTCATAGCCAACTTACAGTATACGATGATATCCTGCCCGGGACAGCGCGGGGAGCAGAGCAGAGCCTGCAGGGACAGACAGCGTGGTCAGGGAGCACAGCCTGTTGTCACCCCGGTGTCACCTTCACCCATCCCTGTCCCCCGGTCCTGTCCCCTCCTGTCCCAGCACCTCCCCACCTGCTCCTCATCCCTCCCAGCTCCACCACCCCAGAGCAGGACAGAGGTTCTCAGTGCTTCCCTACCCAGGTGTCCCCCCAGTCCCTCCTTGTCACCCCATTCCCACCACCCTGCAGAGGAGCAGAGGTTCCCAATTGTCCCCTCACCCCAAGACCCCCCTTTCCCATCTTTGCCCCCCAGTCCTGCTGCCCCAGAGTGGGATTGAGGGCTCCCAATTTCCTCCCCACCACAGCACCCCCCTAACCCCTCCTTTTATCCCATAACCCCATCTCAGAGCAGGACAGGGGTTCCCAAACCCCACATTTGTGTTCCCAATCCCACCCTCCCTGAGCAGGACAGGGGCTCCCAGGTGGTGGCACTTACCTGTGGGGTGGCACTGGGGCTTTGTGGGGTGCCGGGTCTGCACCCGCCTTATAAAACCTGCTCTGCCTCATCTGCATATCTCACATCTGCACCGCACAGCTGGACAGGGCCCTTAACCCCTTCATGCCCAGGGGGGCACCGCCCCAAGCGGCTCCCCCCACCCAGCCTGGCATTGTCCATGGAGGAATTTGGGGATGTGGGGCTTGCAAGGGGCCATCCCTGCATCTTCCACTTCAAGGTGGCCTCACAAATGCCCCATCCTCCTGTGGTCACCAGGATTACCCTTTCCCATTGTTGTGGGGACCCTGAACTGGGAGCTCCCCACTGCAAACTGGTTCCCAGTTGCTGGACAGTGGTGTTGGACAGGGCGGGGTGGCAGCCCGTGGGGAGGGGGACCAGGAGGGACATCTGGGGGACATAGGGACATCTGGGAGTGGGGGTCACCCTACACAGGCACCCTCAGGTGAGGTACAGGGTACACGTGGTGTAGGGAGGCTGTGTCCCCCAGTTAGGTGTCCCCAAAGGACACGCTCCCCTGGCCATCTGTGTGCCCTGGAGGGATGTAACCCCCAGCTGTGTCCCCCCAAGGGCCCCTCCTGGCCACATGTGTCCCCAAGAGGTCTGTGTCCCCTCATTGCACATGACCCTGGGTCACATTTGTCCCCTGACCACGTGTGTCCCCAAATGGCTCCACCCCCTGACCATGAGTGTCACCTGCCTGTGCATGACCCTGGTCATTTGTGTCCCCCAGCCCTGTCTGTCCCCACAGGGCCACATCCTGCAGCCGGTGCTGCGCCATCGTGCCGGGCTGTTTGTGCCAGGCCAGGCTGGCATTCCTGGAACTCGGCTGGGGGGAGGTGATAATGACAATCCCCTGCCGTGAGCTCTGGGTCCCGATAAGCAGCAGCCTCGGGCTATCAGGGACCCTGCCCTGCCACACAAGGTGTTCCTGGACCCTCTGTCACCTCTGGGTGACAGCATGGACCACACTGCCCCTGGCCTGGGCAGACCCTGGCAGGAGGGGGCATAGGGTCCAGCCCTGGTCTGAGCCTGTCTCAGGCCATGAGGCTGTGGGGACTTGGGGACTGCAAGGGACCTCCTGGTTTGGTCCCTTTTGTGACCCAGAGGAGTCCTGGAGCCTGCAGCGTTCCCCAAACTGTGGCACAGGCACCCCAGCGCGCAGAGCAGTGACACAGGCAGTGTCCCTGAGTCCCCAAGCCCTGCCAGCTCCAGGTGAGTTCCAGGGATTGTCCCCATGGGATTGTCTCCATGCTGGTGCTGCCTGCCAGCCCTGCTGCCTGCTCAGCACCCAAGGGCAGCCCTGCCCCGTGGCCTTGTACCCCACAGTGGCAGAGGGGGCCTGAGTGTCCCCAGAGCTGGTGTGGGACCCCCCAGATGCCACAGAGACCCCTGAGTGCCACAGCCCTCCCAGCAGCCATGCTGCCCCAGGACAGTGTGGCTGGCTCCAGATAAGGAGGCACTGGGAGCTGCAGAGCCGTCCCCACCCTGTCTATCTGCAGGGCCACCCTGCAGGACACAGAGGACAGGGCCTGTTGTCCTGCTCTGGGTTTAGGGGGACTTGAAGGGTCTGCAGGGCACAAAGAAACCATTTTCCCCAGGGAGGGCAGTGCAGCAAGCCCCCCATGCTGGCTGTCACTGGTCCTGCTTGCAGGGTGACCCTGAGCAGGACAGGTACCCCCAGACCCACCTTGCTGTCCCCCAGGGCAGGGAAGGGCGTGTGGGGCTGGGACAGGGCTCTGGTGGCAGGGCAGGGGACGTGAGCTGCTGCCACCAGCCTGGCTGCTGTGACACTGCGCCTTCAGCACCTGTCACTCTTTGGGGTGCCCCTGCAGAGGTCACCCCCTGGGTCACACGGGCCATGCATGGGGCTCACTCCTGGCTCCACACTCATCCCTGGGGGAGCATGACAAGGGCTGGGACAGTGACCACGGGGAAGCCACCAGCTCCCAGGAGCCTTGGAGGAGCAGCCTGAGCTGGAATCTCACCTCCTGCACTCCTTGTCCCCCATCCCCGCGGGAGCACCCCCGGACCAGCAGCCCCCGGCCAGCCCAAGCCACGCAGGGCAGCCGGGGCGGGACAGACAGACAGAGCCCAGCAGGAGGTGACAAGGGTTTATTCAAGGGTTTATTATCTCACGGCAGCGGGGTGGCGGCACATGCAGATAGGGCCCGGCCCGGCCCGGCACGCCTGCCCGCCGCCCTCGGGCCAGCGCAGGCCGGGGGCTGATAACGGCACGGAGGGCACGGGGGGGCCCCGCAGCACCCGCCGAGGGTCACCCCTGGCAAAGGACACCGCCGGGAGGGACCTGCGGCCGCCCCGTGGCACGGGGGGGGCACTGAGCTGGGGGTGCAGGACCCCCAGAGCCCCGCTGCCAGCAGCGCCAGGCTGACTGCACACACTGAGCTGTGCCAGCCACGCTGAACACGGGCACTGGGACAGGCTGGGGAGGGCATGGGCCAGCACAGGGCTCTGGGGGCACACACGGGGACAATCTCCTTCACATTGTCACAAGGCAGCAAAGCCACTGGCCTAAGAGGCAGGGGGAGGGAGGGAGGCAGCCGTACAGGCTGTGCTGGGGGAGCCTGTCCCCACCTCAGTGTCCTGCTGGTCCCACAGCCACCTCTGACCACCACTCTGCTTGAGTAGTTGTGGGGTTGGGAAGTGTCACAGCACCTGGGAACAGCAGGCACAGTGGCTTCACTGCCCTCTCAGGGGATGGGTGCCTTTGGCACAGCGCTACTTTTTGGTATTCGTGGTGGTGAGATCTCACCAGGGCCGAACTGGGCTCCCTCTGTCCCCTGGAGCTCTCCCTGCTTCAGATCCTGTGAGGAAAATTCCCCAGGCATGGGAGAGGGCAGCACCCACTGCTAGTGCTGGATTGTCACCTTTTGTGGGGGTTGAGTGCCACCCACGCAGCCTGGGCAGGGCTGTTGGCACTGTGGGGGCCCTGGGGGTGAGACACAGGGACAGGGAGAGCCACAGGGACAGCTGTGGGCAGAGGACAGGGCCCAGGCGGGTCACTGAGACAGGGCAAGGAGCCCAGGGGAGGGAGGTCCTGGTTCTCTTCCTAAAACTCCCCATCCCAAGCCTCTGCTCCAAGTCCCAGGTGCTCACCCCAGGGCAGAGAACAGCAAGGCACAGGGACTGCAACACCAGACAAGCTGCCAGTCATAACTGGGGACAGGATTGGCCTGAGACAACACAAAGTTAATTAGAAAATAAATCCTCTCTCAGCTTTGGAATAAAAAGAGCAGCAGACAGGACATGCATCTTTCTGGCCCTACAAAATAAGGCACCAGTTACAAACAAAACTCGGATTGTCTTTGATATAAAAGGAATTCCCATGTGTTGAAGGCAGTTGATGTCTGAGTGCATAACAGGGAGTGATCTTCACTACCTTTGGGTTGGCCAACCTCATTCCTTGGCCTAGGTGGCTTTTTGGAACAGAGGAAGCTGCAGGAGGGGAAGAGAGAAGTTGTTAGGGCTGCAGGAGGGGGAGGCAGGGCACTGCCTGCACTCCGTGGTGGTCAGGGCTGGGGAAGGAGAGGCTCCCTGGGAGGCTGAAAGCTTCCAGGCAAGTCCCTGTGCCCAGCTCACCTTTGTGAGATCCACACCAGTGATGGCACGCACAGAGTTGGGGATCTCAGCCAGGAGACGGTTCACATCAGACATGGTGCTGCCTTTCTCTCCGCTGAGAATAACGATCTCATCCACTTTGGAGAGGGGAGCAGACACTTTGGCAGCGATCTGGGGAAGCAGGGAGAGCACAGAGTCAAGGAACTGCTCAGCAGCTCACTGGGAAAGGTCCCTACAGGGCCTTGCTGTGCCCCCAGGAGACCTGGCCCAGTCTGGGAGCCCCCCCAGCCCACCTGGAGCAGGGGAAAGCTGCCCCCTCCTCACCTCAGGCAGTGCATCCAGCACCAGAGCCAGCTGGGCAGCTTCTCCATACTTCTGGAGCGCTTCTGCTTTCAGCTTCAGCCCCTCAGCCTCGGCCATCCCGACAGCCTCGATCACAAAAGCCTCGGCCTCTCCGATCTTGCGGATCTTTTCTGCCTCCGCCTGAGCCAGGAGGATTTGCTTCACCCTGGCAAGGGAAACGCAGCCCTGCAGCAGCCTGGATCCCTGCAGAGAGCCCAGGAGCTGGGGCTCAGGGCAGCACTGTGCTTCTCCAGCCCGGCCCAGGGCAGGGCTCACTCACTTCTCGCCCTCAGCGATCTGCTGGATGCGATAGGCCTCGGCCTCGGCCGGCTGCTTCACGGTGGCCGTCAGCTCCTTCTCCATCCTCACCACCTCCTTCTCCTCCACCTCAATCTGCTTCTTGCGCTCCACCACCTCGATCTCGATCTCCTCCTGACGGATCTTCTGCTGCTCCCGGGCGCTCTGGAGCTCGTAGGCCAGCTGGGCCTCTGCAGTCTGCACACGGGGGAGAGGAGAAGAGGGGTCAGGGCCATGAACTCGGGTACACAGACATAAGGACCTCAAAACCAGACATGACTCCTGCTATTGAACCTTTTCCCAGTGCTGACATCCCAATCCTCAGTGCTGCTCTTCCCACAGCACTTAAGCCCATATCAGCTCCAGGTTCAACCCTCCCCATCCTTTCCTGTTCTCCAAGTCCCACTGAATTGCTGCAAACAGGAGAGGAATCTGCTGCAAGCTCACAGTGACACACAGACCTGGGTTTTCCGCCTCCAGCTCTCCTAACAGATGTAGGAGGAGGAAGCTGACAAGTCCCAGAGCTACCAACACCACCACAGACCATCCAGGAACAGCAGTGGGCTGTGGGATACTCTCACCTTAATGTTGACTTCCTCAGTGAAGGCAGCTTTCTGCAACTCAAAAGCCCGTTTGGAATCTGCTATTTTGGTATCTGCCATGAACTTGACATCCAGCATTTCCTTCTTGCACTCTGCCTCCTGCAGAGAGGGAACAGAGAGCAGAGCTCCAGGGCATGCAGTTGGAGCAGAAAAGGCTGCTCCAGGGAAGCCCAGCACGTCTCCAGACTCACCCGAATGCCAGCATCCCGCTCGGCTTCTGCCACTCCAATGTCTGCATCCCTTTGGACAGCTGCAATCTGAGTCTTCCCCAGGGAGCTCAGGTAATCCACTTTATCATAGACATCCTGGGGAGGGGAGATAAGTCATAACCACTTCAAATGAGTGACTCCATCTTGCTCCCTTTCCCATTGAAGCTCAGTGTGGTCAGGCCAGGGTCAGAACACATCACGTCAGCTGCTCCAAACAAACAGGCAGGGCAGGGAGAAGGAGGCCATCCTGACATCTTCCCTCACTCCCAGGAGGCTGGGTTATCAGCCAGCTCTCTCCACGAGCTTGTTTACAGAGGCAGCTACCCCGGTGCTCTTGGCCCAGCTGCCTGGATACAGGACATGCTGTGGCGGCTGTCATGGAAACTCCCGGAGGGCTGGGACAGGCTGTCAGCCTGAGCCTTCCAGCTGCAGCAGGGGGGTCATGGCCAGGCTCTCCTGCTGCTCCTACAGCTCTGCCTAGAGCAGTGCCCAACATCTGGGCGTACCTTGATGGTGAAACTCAGGATCTCGATCCCCATGCGACCCACGTCGGGAGCTGCCACCTCCCGCACCAGCTTGGCAAACTGGTCCCTGTCCTGGTAGATCTGCTCCACTGTCAGGGTACCTGCAGAGGGGAGGAAGGTGAAGCACTTTATTTGGAACAGGTAACACACAAAAACGTGGGTCTAAGCTCAGCAACATCCTGGTTGTCCCTAATCTTGTCAGGACTGGGCTCAAGGGCGTAATCCTCTGCCACAGCAGGGGCAGCAACATCTCAGTCTCACAAGTGCAACCACCACCCACATGTGCTACCTGTGGCCCTTGGGGACTCAGACATCTCTCACTGCAGGCACCGAAAACTCATTTATCACAAGGCCCAGCCACGCAGAGGGAGCTGCTGGAGGGGAGATGCCACCTCTGCAGGCAGCACAGGACAGTCCATGTCCTGTGTGGTGGCAGTGATACTGCTGGGACCAGCCAGCTGAGAGGGGACAAAGCCACTCGAGGTGCCTGCAGGGGATGAGCCCTCCATACCTAGGATGGAGCGCAGGTGTCCCTCCAGAGTCTGCAGGACCACGTTCTTCACATCCTGCACGTTCTTCCCCAAGAACTGCTCACAGGCCACAGCCAGCAGCTCCTTCTCAGTCATTATCTTCACCTAGAGACAGGAGACAGAAGCAGAGGGACTGAAGGTGCCTGTCCAGGAGGTGCAGGCACCCAGCAGCAGCAGCAGCAGCAGCAGCAGAAGCAGCAGTACCACCACCAGGCTGCCAGGCCCCCATGCTACTGATGCTCCAAGGGACCACGGTGAGGTGTCCCCAGGCTGAGGTGTCCCCAGGCTGAGGTGTCCCCAGGCTGAGGTGTCCCCAGGCTGAGCCATCCCCAGGCTGAGCCAGGCCACTGGACCAGCCCCCACTCTCTGTGCCACCACGAATACCAAACCCTGCCCAAACCCTGTCAGCAGATCAGTGTGGAGCTGCTCAGCAGTGGGGACAGAGCCTGGCCCTACCAGACCCAACTCACAGAAACCCTACAAAAACCCCTGAAACAGCAGTTCAGCCACTGCACCAACACCAGTCAGAAGAAAGCTGGGTATTAACCACCTCTGGCCAAAACCCATTTTGTTACCTTCCTCTTCCTCCTCTTTCACTAGAATTAAATCTTCTGACCCCAAAAAGACAGAGAATGAGAAAGAGTGTGACATGCCCAAGGAGCAGCTTGGGAACAGGGGTTCCATTCAGTGTTCTCTGGAAGGAGGGATGGGACAATAAGGCCACTGGTTTGTCCTGCCTGTAGCTGGGAGCTCCCAGACATCCTTTGCAATGACCCCAATGTGCCATGGTCAGGACCTGGCTGTTCTGCTCAGCATGGTCAGTCTGGTGACAGTCCCCAGAGCTGGGACACAGCCACCCCAGCAATGTTTTCACCTCCCTTACTCCAGAGCCAGGCCTAAAAGTGCCCCCATTCCAGCCAAGCCAGGGTCTTAGGATGGCCCTGCTGGTCACAGGGCTGTTTTTCAAAGGCAAAGTGAATTACAAATCTCTGTGGGGTGTGTTAGGCAGTGGAGCTCTGTGCATACAGCACCCAGCTATCAGGGGTGCAATTCACCAAGACAACAGCTCCTGGTGGCCATGTCCAGTCTGAGGGCTCAGGCAAAGGCTGGGCACAGGGACATTCTGAGAGGGAGCAGGTCCAGAGCAGTCACACAGCTTTCTGGATCCTACAGCACCCTCTCATGGACACAGCTGGGCTGGGCAGTGCCTCCTGTCCCACAAGGAGCTGGTGGCACCCTGAGTCCTGCCCTAAGGGCCGTGGCTGGACCTGTTTCTGAGATTTCCAAAGCACAGATGCTGTACAGGGGCCCTCTGAGGGTCCCAGTGCACACTATGGAGGGATTCACAGGCTATAGACCTCATCCTGATACCCTCTAGCACTTTCAGCTGCAAAAGCAACACAGCCCTTTGTTGAGAGTCTTGTCTGACAGCCCACACACACAAAATCATCCCTCCAGAGCCCAACAGCAGCACCTGGCCCAGGCAGTGCCAGAGAGCAGGACAGCTGGGACTGACTGTCACCTTCTAAGGGGACAGGAGGTGGGCCATGCTAGACAGAGTGAGCTGGCCAAAACTCACCTGCCACAACCCTGCCCCTTGTAATGTTTAGAAACACCAACCGAGGCTGAGCCTGTTTCCTACTGCTGCTTCCCAGACTGGGTGTCCCAGTCAAAATGTCAAACAGCCTCAGGCAAGCATGGCAATCCTCTTCTGCATTGTCCCCAAAGCCTCTTGGGATCATTTCAGGGCCAATTCCACAGTGGTTTTTCTTGTCCCTACAACCCAGGCCAGCAGTGTGCTCTTCCCACACAAGGGGGAGTTGGGAGAGCTGCTCTGGAGCTGCACCCAGGAGTGTGAGCCCTGCATGAGGCTCCTCTCACAGCAAACAGGAGATTTCTGCAAGTATCAAAAGCAATTAGACTCAGCAGCGACATTTATGGTGAGCATCTGCCAGCAATTCCACCTCTCCAAACAATCCCCACCCTCGGGAGCTGCGGGGAGGACAGAGCACAGGGCAGGATGTTCATTAGGAGAATCCCTGTGGTACTTGGGAGCAAGGAATGATTCAGCCTCTGGATAAAGCCAGCCAGCCTCCACTGCTGAGCTCTGGCCAGCCCACGGGAGCCTGGCTCTGCATGGAATACAGATCCCAACCTCCAAAGCAAAGGCTGCACAAAAGAAAGCAGAGTTGAGCAATTTGTGCTCAGCGTGTTTTGCAGGGTTTCAGGCAGGGCACTGCGACACTCAAATGTCACTGCCACCAGAGGGAGAGCCCATGGCTGGCAGGGGATCAGAGAGCCTCCATCCAGCAATCCCCTGTGCAGGATCGATGCCACCACACCCTGCTCCAGCCAGCTGCACTCGCAGTGAGGGGTGAGCACAGAGAATCCAATTAGCTGGAGGCTCAGGAAAATGCTGCACAAGGATATAGAGCCCAGCATGGCCTAAGGGAGCAGCATCCCAGCACATCCCAGCACCCAGCCAACATGGGAAGGAGGCTACTGGTGAGCACTCATTACATCCCTCCTCAAGAAAAGAACAGCATCCTTATGCACATTAAGCACTTCTATCATTGCAGCAAACACTTTAAAAGCTGTTTCTCTAGGAATAATTTGTTTGGGTTTTTTTCCCTTTTTTTTTTTTTCCTCAAGCCCTTAACAGAAAAACGTTTGCCTCAAAAAGTGCTTCTGCAGAATTAAGGTAATCTCTGCCATGCACATCCCCAACAGCCTTGAGGCTGCTTTCTGTGTGGCAATTCCTTGGATCACAGCTTTAAAATTAACTGTCAATGGAAAAAAATGAACAGTGAGAAGAGAGAATAACATGAATGAGATGAACTGGGGTCTGCATTTTTAAATCAAGGCACCTGGTGATCCAGTCCTCTTCTACCAGACCATTTTGCAGGAAGGATTTCCCAAAACTAGGACAAAAGGGAATGCTGGCTTCAAAGAAACACCAAATACAGATGGAAAAGCCTACAGATTTAGGAAAAGAGTGTGAAGGGAGACATGGGTGCACACATTTTTGACAACCATGCAAAGACCACTGGGGTTATGTGACACCTTAGCGGCTAAATGGATATCAAGGATTGGAAACTAAGTGAAAGATGAATATAAAGTACTGAAAAATAGAAACCAAGGGTGCTGGGTCCGTGAGGGATTTTCACTCAACAGCTCCCCTTGGCTCCAGAGCTCCCCACAGGGAATGTGGCAGCCACTTGTCCTGTGACAACACACCTGGACACAGAGTGAGCACAGCCCTGCGTGCACTGAGAGCCGCTCTTGGTTTGTACACCCAATTGCAGAATGAGCTGTCAGGAGTAATTTTCAATCACAGCATCCAGCTGCCTTTTGGAGGAGCCAAATTCCCTCAGAAACTAACATTTCCCTCCCAGCATCCTCCCCAGGGCAGGACCTGGCCCCAAGGACAGACTGTACCAGGACAGCAGGCCTCAGACTCCAAGAAGTGCAGGGTTTTGGTGTGCTGCCACAAGCAGCAAAAGCAGGTTCTTACATTTGAAAAAAGCTGTAGAGAATAAAAATTCAATTCCAGCCAAAAATTTTACATGCCAGTTTTAGTGCCTGGAGGGAGTAAATTCTTTTTTTCAAGCTTTAACTCACCATGAAGAATTACAAGGCCCATGTGCTAACAATAACAATCCAAAGGAATATAATGCTCAATACCATCTCAGGAAGTTATGGGTCAGTCCTGTGGGGTCACACACGGCTCCAAGGGCACCACAGCACATCAGCATTCCACAAACACATCAAGTCCACCCCCACACACCTCATTTGCCACGTGGACAAATGAGACACCAGAAAAAAATTATTCTGGGAAGAGAAGGAGAAGTCACAACCCCCTTCACCACATGGAACATGCTGGAGCGTGTTTGTACCAACAAGGACAATGTGATTTGGTACAAAGGTTTATTCCAGAGCAGCTGGCTTCTCTCCCTGGACAACAGCAACCACTTCAGAGGGAAAACCAGAGGTAAGTTAGAGACATGCATTCCTGAAATGATGTTTTGGAGTTACTGTACCTGTGCCACACCTGTGACAGTTATAGCTACCCCCTCCGCCGTCTCTACGTCCTCACACCTGGGCTGTAACGTCATTATCTCTAGGGAAATCCTGCCAAAAAACGTAAAATGTTTGCACGTTTCCAGGTTACACACACTCAGCTCTTCCCTTTGCATCTCCTGCCCCGGGCTACCTGCTGCACTCATCACAGGTAATGCAAGGCAGGGACAGAATGCAGCCAAGGGACCACATCTGTGACTGGAGGCAGACAGGGCATTGTGGCCAAGAAATAGAATTTCAGGTAATGCTTTAAGGTAATTTATCAGCAAAGGTTGGAATCCAGACTGGAAATTATCCTGTGGCCCTTTCCCTCCTGCTGAGTTAGTGAGGAGCCAGAAGCTGCAGCACTGAGAGCCCAAAGGGCCCTCTGTCAGAGGCTCATTGTGCCATGCTGCCCAATGCCATGGCAGTACAGGGTGGTGTCACTGGTTTGAAAGCACAGCACAGAACTGGGATGCTCCCACCCACCTCACATGAGTGCTGGTGCTTGGCAGAACCTGACACTGATGCTGAAGAAACCCTGGGTTAGCCCTACCACACACCTACCCCCTGACCTGGTTCACCTCTCCCTCTATTTTTCCAGTGTCCCGTGACCCAAAGATGGAAATGAGTCTCCAGCTCTTTATGGCTGCACCTGTAGAGCATCAGGCACCCAGGAACAGATCCTACAGCTCCAGAGCTGTCTCTGTCACCCCAGGTGGGCTCAAGGTACTTTGGTCAGTCCCAGCAATCTGCTGACAGGTCACCATTTGGTAAACAAGGGACATCTTGGGCTGTGGCAGGTTCCAGGAAGCCAAGCCTGGCTCCTGTATCAGCCATAACGAGCCAGAAAGATGTTGGGAGTCAGGACAGGGAGCCACGGGGCAGGGAGTTTGTGTCAGTGAACATCAGGTCAAACATCTGAACCATGAAGGGGCTGCCCTGGGCTGCTGTGTGCATGCTGAGTTGCTCCAGGATTGGCTGGAAGTGCTGAAACCTATCCTGCAAGTTCTGCCTGCCTTGGCCACTGTCCTAATTAAACTGGCACGCAAACTGGGAGCTGATCAAACACATCCCACTGTCCAGGACATCACAGGCATTTTTTGCCATGTGTTCACAGCTTTAATCAGATACTGCAGGATTTCAACCTTCTGAAGGCCTAATCTAGACTTGGAATTTAATTTCCAAACTGTGCTGCTTCTTAGTTCTGTTCACAGGGGTATTTAGTCATTACTGGTTCATAATGCCAGTCCTGTGTGCTGCAGCTCATCTGAGGTCTCTGTGCTGTATTTTCAAAGGTGACAACATCCAAAATGGGCAGTGTCTCCATGTGGAGGAAGAAGGGCTGAGTGGGAATCCATAGCCAACACTGCAGAGCCAGGCACAGCTGCAATTTTGAAATGGCACAAAATCTGCCTTCCACCTGTCCCAAATCCTGTAGAGAATCCAATCTGGCCTGCTTGTGCCTCCACACAAAAGTGTGCCTCCAGATGCCCTTCTGCTCTCCCCCAAGCCTCCAGTGGAGACAGTGCTGGCAAGGAAAGGGTTACAGCAGGAGCAAATGTTAGGTACAGCAATGCTGGATTTGGATTTTGCCAGGAATGTACCTGTCTGCATTACCTGTGAGCTGTGGAGTGCCACAGAGCAAGTGCTGGAGAAGGGGAAGGAGAGGAGAGTACGGAGATTTCAGCTGTCCCATTAGAAAACCATTAAATTTTATTTTATCCTGCTGCTGCTGCTGCTGCTGCTCAAAACTAAATAAACAGTTAGACAGTGTGTTAGGAAGCTGGAGGATTATTACCTGTGCAACCCCTGTTACGTACAGGGGGACCCCCTCCGACGTCTCAACATTCTCGCAGCGACAGAGGATGGTCAAAACCTCCAAAGACACTCTGAGCAGGGAGGAGTAAGGGTAGGACAGCAAATACACAGAGCAGTTACCACAGAGTAAGACACTCCTTGCAAAGGACAGACGAGACTTTCAGGTTTCAGCTTTTCCCTGGTCAGTTTGCCTTTCTCCCACTGCCTGCTCCCAGGGCTCCATAATCAGCTTCCCTGGTCATGGGTGGGAGTTTACAGCATCCAGCAGCTCCTTTTAGTGAGGATAAACAGGCTGGGGGCTTGTCCCCACCCTGCACACAAAACTGTGCCATCCTGGTGTCAGCTGGAGTTCTCTGTTGAAGTAATGCTTGCAAACAGAAAAACTCCTTTTGGTAATAATTTAGATGCTTCTATGTCAGTATTTAAGAGAGGACAGATAAATGAAAACACCAGGGATCTGGCTACCCACCCCTGGCTAAGGCATTGAGGAGAGAAGTTGCTTCCAAGTGCTGTCCTGGGAAGCTGAATTAGCACCATTTGGCTTCCCCAAAGGCATATTAGACCACACTGTCTCTCTCACTGCTTTTACTTCTGACCCCTAAACAGGGACAGCATTTTTTCCCCTTGTTTTTCCCCAGTGCTCAAGGTTGCAGCAGGAGAAGTGCCCAGCACCCTGCCAGCTCTAACTGTTCCTTTTGTTCCCAGGTTAATGCTACCTGGCGGGATGCCGCTGACAGCAACACAATTGCTCCTGTCTCTCTTGCTTGCAGCACTGGCAGTTCCAGAAAAAATGTCCTAATTTCAGAGAAGGAAATCTGTCTCACTCTTCATGTTAATGCAGCGGGCTCCATCTGGGGCACAGCTTAAGGCATGCAAGAAAGGAGAATTAAGCCCCACATCCCACTGCACGAACTGGTATGGATTTGAAAGCAGAAGGTTTGTTTGGATGCTGGAATTCCTGTCAAGAGCCTCATTTGCTAAATAATGCCCAGAGCTCTATCATGTAACAGCTCGTTCCTGGCAATCCAGTTCTTGGCCCTGGATTCAGCCTATCCTTAACTTAATAAATCAGCCTCCCAAATGTGTCTGATCTTCTGCACTGGGCAGGTCAAGGTCCTGCACTGCTTCTCAGAAGAAGAGGAGAAGCAGGAACTATTTGTTCAATTAACAGTTCTCCCAACAAGCTGTCTCACAAAAATTTGGGAATGAAGCTTGTCTGGCTCAAATGCAGCCCTCAAACACTGAGCCCACAAGCTGGCCTTTTCTTTCCTCTCCCACCTCCCATCATGTGCAGAGTGAGGGCAGCCACATGCTCACTTTGCTGGTGAGGTACAGGGAAAAGAGGTTGGAAGAGGCTGTAAGGGTTAACTACAACCTCTGGCCATCACTCAGTGTAAAACTCAAAAGTCACGTCTTTATCCTTTTCCCTGTTATTTTTTTACACAGATGGAGGAAACCTGTATCAGTGAACATGAGGGATGTTTTGGGAGGGAGCATTCCTACACATCCTAGACACAAAGAGCTGTATTAGCAGGACAGCAGCACTACCACAGCATGTCAGCTCAGAGACCAGACTGTAAGCAGCAGCAAGCAAAATCCACAACTGAGGAAAGGGAGAGAAAGGAAATCCCGTGGTTTTAAATGGGAACAGCCTGCTCCCAAGGTGACAGCAGTCAGCAGATCTTTACAAAGAGAGACTTGAGGAGCAGAGGGGGGCACTGGTGCACTGCAGGCCATGAACTGGTTTGTTACTGGGTGAGGGGTTGGGCCATACTGGGCAGAGCTTGGCTCCTCTTGTGGACACAGAGGCTGTTTGAAAAGCACTCCAGCTGAAAGCATGTGATTTCTTTTTTTGTGTGTGTCTTTTGCACTGTGGCACCCAGCTGTCCCCATGCCAACAGCCAGCAAAGAACTCCTGATCCTCATCCCTGGTTTCATACACAGTGCCTGATACAGTGCTCCTAAAAATACTGCTGACAGCCCCACTGGGATGATTTTGCCAAATTCCCACTCCAAAAGCCCACAAATAACAGGGCTCTCCTTACCTTTGGGTGTCAGTAATGCACCACCAAGCCCAGGCCCAGCCTCCATACACATATTGCTTCTCATCAGAGCCACAGCAGCCACCTGCAGCACAGCAGAGAGCACAGAGACATCAGGATTACACACGTGCACGTGCTCTTGGACAGGGAATAACTTACAGGCAGAGGAGTTCCTCCTCTTCCTCCTCTCCATGGGCTTCACATGCCAGTTTTCACAAGGCAACCTTTTTTTGGAATTGTCTTATAAAGTTGGAAAATAGTATTTGTATAATTCACTATGACCAACAGTAACACATAGAAAGGGACGGTATGCCATATAATTCACTATAACACACAGAAAGGGACTGTATGCCAAACCAGGGCTTTATTTTTTCAGCCCTTTTAGCAACCAGAATCAGTATCAGTATCTTCAACTGTGATGCTAATTGCTTTGGAAAGCCACATAAGAAATCCACCTCCTTTCCCTCACACCATCCTTAAATTCCCACAGAAACTCTCAAATCAGCATTAGAAGATAGAAGAACCTCTGAGCTCCCCAAAAACACCTCCTCATTCTGGCTTGTGCAAGTAGCACAGTATCTGATGCTTTGATGGTCCATCTCAGAGCTGGATGTGCCCAAGGTTCAGGCAGCCTCCAGAACTCTTCTGACACATTGAAGATGTGGTCCTAGTGAAGCCAGAAGATGCTGTCTGGATTTTCATATCTTTGATTTAAAGAACACGGCCCCTGCTGCCTTTCAAGAGAGCACCCTGCCAGTGATCAGATTCATGGCTGGGAAGGGAGGAACTCTGCAGTTCCCTGGCTCGGACCAGGGCTGGGAGCTGCTGACTCTCAGGCAGATGGAGCCAGAATTCCCTCTCTCAGCTGCTCTCCATAATCACTCTTACTACAGCAGTGCCCGAGGGCCTCAGCAAGGCGAGTGCTGTGCAAACAGAGCAACAGCCAGCCCCAGCCCTGCGGGATAGATCTCTGCAGGCAAGACAGAGCCAGCACAGAGGAAAAGCAGGAATGCAGAAAACAGAGTGGCTCTGAGAGCTTTGGGTAGTGGGAGGGGAAAGGGACAAGGATGAAGCCAGCAGTCCTTTCAAGAGGAATGACCAGTATTGTTTGCATAGGTCAAAATGAAGAGTAGAAGCAGCACACATCCTGGCCAGCATGCCTGCAGGGCCCTCCATCTGCAGGAGGGGACTCTGTCCTCCTTGTTCTCCTCCTCTTCTTGCTCCTCCTCTTGCTCCAGTTCCCTGTCATTTAGCCATCTTCTGCCTACTTCCAAACACTGTCTGCTTCCAGACACTGGCCACACACTGCCTGCTTCGCTGGCTTCCATGCAGTGTCTGACAAACCAGCAGATCTGCCCCATCTACAATTCTTCACCCCTGCATTTCAGTAAGAATCAAACACAAACGGGAAAAATTCTTTACACGCTTTTTCAGATCTCCTGTGCTGCACAGGCTAGAGGAATATTCTCCTGTCACCTCTGAGCCAGCCTTTGGATAGCTTTTCCCTGTAGCTGGAAGGGGATTTCAGCCAGGCAAGCGTTACAGAAGCTGATGATACAACATCCTGCAGTAACCACAATGCCTTTAACATTTCTTGGAGGGCGTCAGCCCGGTTAGCTCAGCCTTTCAGCCAGGCCCTTGTTTTCCAAGAACAGGAAGGGAGGTGTTCCTGGCACTCAGGAAAAGCAGCACCACATGGAAAGGTATTTTATTTCCCAGGGTCTATGTGGTCGTTACCAAACCTCTGTTAATTTTTTCTTAATAATATCCTGAGAAAGCTCTGCACCCTAAACCCACCATTGTTACAGGAAAGTGCCTCTCCACACAGATGTTCCTCTTCTTCTGTAGGAAATGCAAGGAAATACCTTATTTAGTATCACACACAAAATGAGCTCCACATTTGCTTCCTGGTGCTACACAACACAGCTGCAGAGCACGGTCTGCTGAGCTAGATTATATGTCAAAAATTGTTCAAAGCCTAAAAAAACCAGGGAAAACTAACACATTAAGGAGGAGTGGGATGCCAGCCAGCTGCTTTCACGCATGCTGGACGTCTGAGCGCAGCAGAGCTCCGTCCTGGCAAGGCTGAGGAGCTGAGGGCTCATTTTCCATGGCAGTCCTGCCGCCTCTTTCTCAATTCTCAGGCAGCAAGTGAAAAAGGAACCAACAAAGCAAAAACCTTTGCAAGGCTAAAGAATAAACCCTCTTGCACAATGAGATTTGGCAGAGAAATTGCCTTTCCCAGCTATAATACGCCCACTGTTCCAGCAGACTGGGTCTCACAGTGGCTTCCACAAACATCCACGGAGCCTCTTCCGGGGCAGTGTGCAGGGCCACAAATGGAGGATTCATAGCCAGGGAGCTGCCAGCCAGCTTGGCCTCTTCCCAATGAAGGGCTCCCATGTTCAAGCAAGAATTCCCAGAGCCAGGAGAAAGCACGTTGTCTGTTTGTTTGGGGTTTTTTTAATTTATTATGAAATAAGATTAATCGCTTGGGGGTTGGTAGATAAAAGGAGCTCTCAGCAGATGCAGGAAGTGAGCAAGGAAGAACATGAGCCTCAACAGTTTTGGGGACACAAGGCTCAAAACATCAAAGCTGGGATGATCTGAACAAGCTCAGTGTTGTTTGCTCTCCCAGGTAACTCGGGCACTGAGTTACCTCTCTGGCAGGAAGTGGTGAGCTTTCCAAAATCAGGTCATGGTAAACAGGCTGCTGAGTGCAGACAGACCAGGAAAAAGTTGGTAATTGAAAACAGTTACTGACAAAAGATAATGCACAGATAGAGGAAGGCAAAAGCATACATAAAGAAAATCACATCCGAGAGCAGGGCCCGGACTAAAGTCGGTGTCCGGTTCTTAGGCCTCGCTGTGTGTATAAATTAGGATTTGTTCACATGCAGAAATGGTACAAGATTAACAAAAATTAATTTTAAAAGATGCAGGGTTCTGAGTTGAATCCATAAAAGCCTCTGATCGTCACTGCAGTAGATGAAAGCAGATTACACTGGCTATCTTGTTCTGGATGTGGTTTATATGAAAATGACTTAATGAGTAACAAAGCTATAGAGTGAGTTTAAAAACACATTTAATAACTCATCTCATAAACAGCAACTCAGAGAAGACAAACAACAATGAAGCTACACAACAAAATCACTGAGAAACTACCCCAAAATTCCTTTTGGAAACCAAAAGGAAAGGTCTGAGGCTATTGTCCACCTCCACCTAACAGGCTTTCCAAAGAGTAGTTTACAAGTCCTGGAGATTTAACAAGCACATGACAAGGGAAACCTTGAGCCCAACCACGCTCAAAAAGGTGAAGAAGCAGCTCCTGAGAAGGAAAGATCCCAGATGAGCGGGGTAAGGGCCCTTCTGAGCACTCATGACTTGAGACCAGCTGCAATGCTGCACTCTCAGCAACCCCTGAGCATCACAAGGACTGAGAAACCAAGTGTGGGGAAAGCATTTGGCTTGCCAAAATGACAATCCTAAATCTGCAAGTTTCCTGCATGGCTTGCCTGGTGTAAGAGGTGGAGCACCCCAACCACAACCCTGGAGAAGTTTGAACGGAATGAACTGTACAAACACAGGGCAAAAAAAAACCTCCTGAGACCCAGCTGAAGCTGCCTGCTCCTTCCCACAAGCTCCTATTTCTTTCGAGGCTGAAGAACTGGAATTACACCATCAGTGTGAGGGTTCAGGTGGCTCTTGCTGCCCTCCACATCTTTCCACAGGACATTCTTGTTCCATTTATGTTCCTGGACCTTCTCGTTCCATTTTCATGCAATAGACTCTTCTCACCTAAATGTAACTTCTATATTTCTCCTTCCAGAACTGCACTGGGTTTTGTTCAGCCCATTGGGGTCAATCTCCAGAGTTTGTTTTGATCCTGATCCAGCTCTTCAAAGCTCTCGAACCCATTCCCAGCTCAGCCTGCAGATTCAATAAGCACATTCTCGATTCCATTATCCAAGCCAAAACAAGGAACTTACTTGATAAATTCAGCTGAACAGTGAGCTACTGTCAAGTTTCCTGGCAATGG